CCATCTATACATGCGAGCACCAGGGAATTGCAACTGTATTGTGGATGAAAACTATCAGCATCCTTCGAGAAGGAGAAATCAAGATCGATTTGCTCTCCACGGAGGCGGTTTTGATGAAGTTCATCGGCCGAGAGTATTAATCGAGAGAACTTAAAAATGTCGAAGTCCTCTCCATGCTCGACCACAAACTTGTCAGCAGCAGTAGTTTTGTCAGACGATCCCAAGTCTTCTGTCTCGGTTTTATTGTCAAGTGCGGTTTTATTGTCAAGTGCAGATGTCCACAAAGTTGAAGAGAATGTGGCTGCCGACAGCAGACTGGTGGAGTTTGGGAGCATTCTGGTGTCTGTCACTGGAGGAAACTGTGATGATGACAAGCTGCAGCGGCTTTTCGGCAGTCCCACTGGCGCATGGTTCTCGACATACGGTGCGACAATGGAAAGCCATGGGTGAACGCACACACCAAAGCGTTTCAGTTCTCTCGTCTTGCACTTCCAGAGCATCACCTTGCCATTATCATCCTGAAGAAACAACTTATCCTCGTTTAAGAGGCCCATTATCCTAGGGATAGCAACAGAGACACGAATAGCATCGGAAAGCATTTTAGTCCACGATTCTTGATTCCACACCCACAATTCAAACTTAAATTGTAATCCAAATTCCATTGGCAAGTTAACGTGAACAAGGGCAGCCAAGCAACCATTAAATTCGGCAAGACACAGATTGGAAGTTTGATCAATAGAAAAATTGCTTTGGGGGAAAGGAATTAGAGTGGGTGGGAACTCTTCCTTGGCACAGTCGAAGGAAATGATGGAAGGCATAGATGCTGCCAACCAATAATTAAAACCATTGACGTGAACGGAACGGCGGACACCCAGTGGAATAAATGAATGAGGATACAAAATTTCTTTCCAGCAGTCAGTTTTGAGTGAGTACAGCTCAACAGCAGGACCCCTGCAGTAAAAACTGAGGAATCGGATGACCTTGTAGTCCTCGGTTGAGGGATCAAAACCGAAACCGTAAGTAACGATGGCATCGGTCCCAAGAGCTCGGGGAACAGAGTAACGAGGAAGGCTCTTGACCTCGTCAGTGGTCGGGTTCCACAGAGCAGCACACAGAGAGGAGGAGCAATAATAGCCGAACGAAGCAAAAAATAATTTGTTGCAAAAACTACTGGGATAAAAGTAGATGCTACGCTCGGTGTCGGGGTAACGGAGCTGCTTGATGGTGTAGTTGTCAAAAATTCGCAAGAAAGCTACGTCACCTTTGAGAGTACGCGAAGCCAAGAGGAACTCGTTACGGTGTTGTTGATGATGGTCGCTCATCTCCGACTCAGTCGCCTTCTGTGTATACAAAGAGAACATTCGCAAGCACATACGAGATTTCTTAACCTTGTTGGATATGGATGAGGCTAGCAATTTAGAGACAATTCCGGCCATCTTTGTGTTGGGAACTCGATTGAAACTGCCAAGGATAAAAGGGTTTTCAAAACGGGAAATTGGTAAAGCTAAGCTATGTTTGGGGTTTTAACATGTGTAATCCTTTGGTGGTTGCATTACCTGGGACGCTCTAGTAGGAAAAAATCAGTGAAGCCCTGTGAGTCCTAGAATTGGTCCTTTTGTTATTCTATTAGGCCTTGTCCAGATGTGGGAATTTTTTACTAAAAAAAACTAATAAATAAGTGAAAAAAAAAGGTAGACGAAAATAAAAAGCACTTATTCATAAAATACGTTTTCCATAAAAATTATTTAAAATCGTATTCTTTGAATACGGTTTATTTAAATTTTCAAAGTAAAACGTATTTGTTGAATACGTTTTATTTAATTATCTTAATTAAGTAAATTAATCAACAGGGAAACGTATTTCTTAAATACGTTTTCAAAATATATTTTTTTTGAATAGTTTTTAATTACTGAAATACGTTTTAATTTTTTTTATTTTATTTTTTTGAATTTTTTTTAAACAAAAAAAACGTATTCCATGAATATGTTTAATAATTCGTTTTTTTGTAAATATTTTTTAATTATGAAAACGTATTTTATAAATACGTTTTATATTTGTTATATTTTAATTTAATTTAACAGACAAAGTACGTTTTTAAAAGAAAAAAAAATTAAAAAAATTGGTAAAATCAAATTTACCACAAAATCAAATATACCTGTTCGAGCAATAATAATCCAACATACACTATAACGAAACAAATGAAAAAACACAATAATTTGTTAAACAAACAATATATACAAAACGATATAATTCAGTTTGTTCATACAATTCAACATTTGAAAATGAAACACAAAATCCACGAATTCATCACAACTAATTAGGGGTGTATGGATTTGGAGGTCTGCGCTGTCTGGACCCCCTCCGAGCATATACAATTTGAGGTTGAGGTGTAAGAAAGCTTGGTCATCTTCTTCATCATCTCAGTAATTCAATTGGAAGAAAGAAATCATAAATTGGACTGGAAAAAAAAATTGTTAATTTAAAAATCTCACCTTGTTGAGGCTCGGGTGACTGAGGTATATAGTAGTTCTGGACTGCTGCTGAGGTGGAAAGGGCTGGGGCGGCTGAGGTATGTAGTAGTCCTGGGCGGACGGCTGCTGAGGTGAGAAGAGCTGGGGCGGCTGAGGGGACGGCTGAGGTGAGAAGTGTTGGGGCAGTTGAGGTGGGAATGGCTGGGTAGATGGCTGAGCGTGGGGACGGACTCGAGATCTTCTACCCCCACCAATATTGGGGGCGGGTTGATGCCTGGCGGTGTGTGACTGTGTCTGCATGGGGGGAATGTATTCGTCCTGGGAGAAAACTTGACTGGACGGCCCCCCATGTGGAACACCCTGGCCCCCAACAGTCAGAGAAGAGTATGCATAGTTGTACGACTGTTGGAAGTCGAGTTGCGCTTCTGGAGGGAATTGAGGCAGATATGGCTGCATATCGGATAATCCGCCATAAATCCCGTACAGTGCAGAAGTTTGTAATTAAAATTCATAATAATTAGTATGCAACACCAAAAAAAATAA